CAATATTTTTGCATTTGGGCATTACCATATAGTTAACAAGCTATGATTCCGTGTTTCTGACGGTGGTTTCGTTCGGATCGGAAAGCGGTTTTGAAGATATCGCCAAGTGTTTTTTCGCGCTAAATCGCTACGCTACGCCATCCGTGAGACGAAACCCGACATATTTTGTATCGTTGGACTCGGCAACGATTCAGGACCTCAAAATATGACTCCCGTGAAAATAAGTGTACCACACCAAAAGTTATAAGCGTTTGAATAAAACAATTCACCACTAGGTGGCGCTGTTTCGAAACTTCTCAGGCTCCTTCAGGGCATCGTACTGATGACCCATACCGAGTTTCGTAACAATTCGTTCATGCGTTCAAAAAATACAGCATTTTAGCACATAATTCAAAATGGCCGACAGCCAAAATGGCCGATCTGGGAAATTGGATACGGTCGACTCGGCATGACGCCCTGAATCTAACGAGACCAAGTTTATGATTTTTGGACAAACCGTTCAGGAAGTTACGAGCAAAAATAGCCATTTTTCATATCTCCGGGACCACTAGGTGGCGCTGCGCCGAAACGCAGCACGTAGCCTCAGGTCATGCTTGTGATAACACGTACCAAGTTTGGTCTAAAACGATAAGCGTTGCGGAGATACAACCTCACGTCTGTTTTTGCAAGCGCTACGTAAATTTTGTTTACGCGTTTATCGAAAACGGTTATTATTCGAATCATCTTGATTCCATAAACTTTTTGTCAGCACTGCCTGGAGATGATCCGGTGCGATTTTGGTGAAAATCGGACAAACCGTCTAGGACGAGTTCGCAAAAGTAGGTTTTTGAAAATTCAAAATGGCGGCCGTTTTTTTATGACGGAAAATGACGTCATAGGGTGCGATCGAATCGGCATGAGCTCAGGAACAAGAGGAAAAAAGAATTTTGTTGATAGGCCTTACGGTTCAAAATTATTAGCATAATAAAAGTGAAACTTGGACAGTTGGTGGCGCTAGAGGGAATGCGTTAGAGACACCAAAATTGGTGTATTAAAGTTGGGACTGTCCTCTATCAGAATGTCAAACCAAAACAACTTTCCCGCAAACCGGTCTATGGGCTGCCATAGACGCCCAGTCGGAAGAAGAATAATAAATTAATAAATATAGCTGCAAGCAGCCATTACCGGGCCAAGCGCAAGAAGCGGCAACATATGCCAAAATGGCAAGGAGTGCAGACCAACTGCAGCAAGGAGCAATTAAGGCATTTTGAGAGAACTTTGGGCAAATGGCTAAGAAAATCACATAAACATTAACTTATAAGATGATTTAATGGGTTATCACTTTCGAACAATAGGTGGCGCAGTTACGAAATAGATGTGATGTGGTCAGAGTGAGGTGACAATGACACATGCAAAGTTTGGTGTCAAAATGTGAAGGCATTGCAGAGATAAAGCCTAAATAGTAATTTTGGCAGCATGCCTAAACTTTGATGCTGTGGTATACGAAAACGGTTTGTCTATCATCGTGCAATTCATAACTTTTAGTCGGCACGGTCTGGAGATGATACGATTCATTTTCGTGAAAATCGGACAAACGGTCTAGGAGGAGTTCGAAAAAAAGAAGGTTTTTCAAAGAAATAAAGATGGCGGACAGGAAGTTTTCCTGATCATGCAAAACCTGATATCTATGTTTTCAGCATAACCCAAGGAATCTATTAAGATCAGTTTCATTGCAATAGGCAAATTTATTCAAAAGTTATTAGCGTTCTCAGAAATTAATTATAACTTTTGACCAACAGGTGGCGCTGTCTCAAAATCTTTTGAGTACCTTCAGGGCATGCTGCTTATGGCACACACTGAGTTTCGTAATGTTAGACCAAAGCATTTGTTTAGTATAGCATTGTATTTCACAAAACTGTATTGAAGTCAATGGGAATTTCACGTTTTGTTCTATTATAGCGCCACCAAGAGGCTCAGTCCCACAATTTTTTTTATGTGTCCTCAGAGTGACCCCATACATATGTGTGTCAATTTTGGTGAAAATATCTCAATTTGCTTCCGAGTTATAAACATTTATATGAAAAAACACGTAAAAAATGACTGACACATGACTTTGTTTGAATTTTACTACCCCTTACTATCAATATTTTCGCATTTGGGCATTAGCGTATAGTTAACAAGCTATGATTCCGTGTTTCTGGCGGTGGTTTCGTCTCGATCGGAACAGCGGTTTTGAAGATATCGCCAAGTGTTTTTTTCGCGCTAAATCGCTACGCTACACCAACCGTAACACGAAACCCAGCATGTTTAGTATCGTTGGACTCGGCAACGATTCAGGAACTCAAAAAGATGACTCCCGTGAAAATAAGTGTACCACACCCAAAGTTATAAGCGTTTGAAAAAAAAAATTCACCACTAGGTGGCGCTGTTTCGAAACTTCTCAGGCTCCTTCAGGGCATCGTACTGATGACCCATACCGAGTTTCGTAACAATTCGTTCATGCGTTCAAAAAATACAGCATTTTAGCACATAATTCAAAATGGCCGACAGCCAAAATGGCCGATCTGGGAAAATTGGATATCGGTCGACTCGGCATGACGCCCTGAATCTAACGAGACCAAGTTTTTGATTTTTGGAGAAACCGTTCAGAAGTTACGACCAAAAATAGCCATTTTTCATATCTCCGGACCACTAGGTGGCGCTGCGCCGAAACGCAGCACGTAGCCTCAGGTCATGCTTGTGATGACACGTACCAAGTTTGGTCTGAAAACGAGTAAGCGTTGCGGAGATACAGCCTCACGTCTGTTTTCGCAAGCGCTACGTAAAATTTGTTTACGCGTTTATCGAAAACGATTATTCGAATCATCTTGAATTCCATAACTTTTTGTCAGCACTGCCTGGAGATGATCCGGTGCGATTTTGGTGAAAATCGGACAAACCGTCTAGGACGAGTTCGCAAAAGTAGGTTTTTTGGAAAATTCAAAATGGCGGCCGTTTTTTTATGACGGAAAATGACGTCATATGGTGCGATCGAATCGGCATGAGCTCAGGAACAAGAGGAAAAAAGAATTTTGTTGATAGGCCTTACGGTTCAAAAGTTATTAGCATAATAAAAGTGAAACTTTTGACAGTTGGTGGCGCTAGAGGGAATGAGTTAGAGACACCAAAATTGGTGTATTTAAAGTTGGGACTGTCCTCTATCAGAATGTCAAACCAAAACAACTTTCCCGCAAACCGGTCTATGGGCTGCCATAGACGCCCAGTCGGAAGAAGAATAATAATAATAATATAGCTGGCAAGATACAATAGCCACCTTCGGGCGCCAAGCGCAAGCAGCCATTACCGGGCCAAGCGCAAAGCGGCAACATATGCCAAAATGGCAAGGAGTGGCAGACCAACTGCAGCAAGGAGCATTTAAGGGCATTTTGAGAGAACTTTGGGCAAATGGCTAAGAAAATCACATAAACATTAACTTATAAGATGATTTAATGGGTTATCACTTTCGAACAATAGGTGGCGCAGTTACGAAATAGATGTGATGTGGTCAGAGTGAGGTGACAATGACACATGCAAAGTTTGGTGTCAAAATGTGAAGGCATTGCAGAGATAAAGCCTAAATAGTCATTTTGGCAGCATGCCTAAACTTTGATGCTGTGGTATACGAAAACGGTTTTGTCTATCATCGTGCAATTCATAACTTTTAGTCGGCACGGTCTGGAGATGATACGATTCAATTTTCGTGAAAATTGGACAAACGGTCTAGGAGGAGTTCGAAAAAGAAGGTTTTTCAAAGAAATAAAGATGGCGAACAGGAAGTTTGGCTGATTATGCAAAACCTGATATCTATGTTTTCAGCATAACCCAACGAATCTATTAAGATCAGTTTCATTGCAATAGGCAAATTTATTCAAAAGTTATTAGCGTTCTCAGAAATTAATTATAACTTTTGACCAACAGGTGGCGCTGTCTCAAAATCTTTTGAGTACCTTCAGGGCATGCTGCTTATGGCACACACTGAGTTTTGTAATATTACACCAATGCATTTGTTTAGTATAGCATTTTATTTCACAAAACTCTATTGAAGTCAATGGGAATTTCACGTTTTGTTCTATTATAGCGCCACCAAGAGGCTCAGTCCCACAAT